CACACACACACACACACACACACACACACACACACACACACACACACACACACACACACATAAGAGAAGTTTCATTTTTGAAAGAGAGTTATCGCTGATGTCCATCATGATTGGACAATTAGAATATATTAAAGGATAGAAAATAGGGATTTATTCAGGTACACCGTTGAATAAGTCGTTAAACTTGTGTAATCAGTCAAAAACAAAAGCTACAATTGAGAAAAACTGGAAGAAACAAAAACAGCCATTTGAAACATGTCAGCTGTGACAATATAATATAAAATAAATAAGTTAATAAATTAAGCAATGGAATAAGCAGATAGTAAATTGAGAAAGAAACGTTAACTAATCCAGTCAATATACTAAAGTTGTAAAAAACATTACAAGTACATTTATAGAAACAGCTATATATGCATATCATTAAATTATTCTTCAGTTCTTATAAGTCATTATATAGCATGTGGCATACCTGAACAATGCTAAATGATATTTAATGTAATATATTAATTCTTTATATAATAGTAGGAGATGCCAAAGAGACCTTGCGGATTATCTGACCCTTGCTATTTACTTCAACAAGGCGAGAAGCATATTGATGAAATAAACGGCAAGGTTCACGAAACGTTAGAATTATCAATGGATCACAATAACCTACAAACTCTTTGGCACCTTTAAAGAAAATACTCGTGAAAGCCTTAAAAGCTTAATATAATATTATACAAATTAGTTATTCTATTTGTATAAAAAATTATTTAAGTTTTATGTATAATATACATTTAAATACTTAAAAAAAAGATTTAAATATTTTACAAATTTACATTAACACGGACATTGTTTTATATAAATCGTGTTAATTTTAATCACATAATTGTATTAATAATTATAAAATATAAATATTCAATATAAATGAAATCTAAAAGAAACAAGCTCTGTTGGAAAGTTTGTTATTTTCACCAAATCACTCTTCAGTATTAATCTAGGCAAAGATTTTAAGTTTTTAATTTAAATATTTTTTTACATAAATATATTTTGTTACAAGACTTATTGACCATAAAATAGAAATTATTAAAAAAATTTATTATAAAAAATACACATTTGTTTATACAGAAAAGATGGCGGCCAACATCAGAGAAGAAATCCGCAGATTGCAGCGACGTAAACAATTGCACTTTCAGTCTCAAACGAACAGTGGCGATTCATCAGATATGGAAGGACCTTCAAGTCCTACCGGCCCATCTGGCTCTTCTTTAACTCTCTTTAGTCATAACACTAGTGGAAAAGAAAAACCACTTTTCACATTTAGACAGGTAAAATCTTCTAATTGTTTGCATATTTCAATAGTAAATACATACATCTACCTTTTGTTTATGTTCCCATATAGCACAGAAACTTGTAGGAACATTGCTGTAATGTTTGCAATGTTGCTGGAATGATCTGTATAAAGTTGGGATTCTTCATTAGAGATAAATATCGATCGTTACAAGTAAAAGTTTAGATTTTGTTGATATGTCTATGAGATTGATGTTATAGGTTGGCTTGATCTGTGAGCGAATGCTCAAGGAACAAGAAACGCAAATCCGAGAAGAGTACGATAAGATCTTACATTTAAAGCTCTCCGAACAGTATGACGCTTTTGTTAAATTCACGTACGATCAGATACAAAAAAGATTTGAATCCTCAGCTGCACCGAGTTGTAAGTACTTTAAGAATGTTTGTGCTTATACGCCGTTCATTTTTCTTATATAACACTACACAATATTAATATTTTCAGACCTATCATAAGAAAAGTTTCTTATTTATAAGAAGACATTTTTGTGAGGAGTATTAGGTAAGTTTTGTGAACATGTTCTTTTTTTCCTAGAGAAAACCATCAAACGTTTTTCACTATGAAACAATTTCAATAAGATATAAAGCAGAAGTCTCACTAATTTTTAAAAAAATATTTTATCATATTGTAGATTTCTACTGTGTGAGACAAATTTTGCTTTTGCGCCGAGGTTTGCAGCGCCGCCTCGCTTCGAGAATCACCTTTAAAAAGATAACAAATGGTTTCAGCAGTGTCTAATAAAAAAAAAAAGAACTAAAAAGGTGAAAACGGGAAAAAAAATAATGATTAATAATGTAAGTTCGTAGAGAGAAAGAGAGTGAGTGTAAGAAAGAGAAAGAGAGAGAGTAAATTGCGGTGAATTGTAAACATATTGCGAAAATTTACCATGTATACTTTCGAGACTAACAATATTTGTACTGTTCGACATTAGAAGTGCGCTGGTATCAGGGAACTGATTCTACTTATGTACAAATGTTATTACGGTTAAAAATACGATATATGTACACAGTGCAAGGCTAAAGCGCAAAGCTTAATATCCAGCTGAAAGAAGTGAGAGAGAGAGAGAGAGAGAGAGAGAGAGAGAGAGAGAGAGAGAGAGAGAGAGAGAGAG